AAGGTTAAGTTAAGGTAGGTAGTACGTACGTACGTACGGTAAGGTACGGTAGGTACGTTACGTTAGTAGTAGTAGTAGGTAGTAGTAGTAGTAGTAGTAGGTAGGTAGTAGTATATATATATATATATATATATATATATATATATATATATATATATATATATATATATATATATATATATATATATATGTATATATGTATATATAGCGAGATATGCGATATGAGATTTTTAGTGAGGTACTGAAGTTGATAGACTTGGACAGATTTTCACATACCATGGGCAATCGTGCAACTGACTGAGGGGAAGCAACCAAATGTAATATGAAGCTCATACTTCAGAATACATACATGCACATGATCGTCCGCGAGAATCTCGTAGCTGTACCGAACATAACACGTGGCCCAACATTGCACTCTCAACTAATCACCACCAAATCTTCAATGTAAATTGCTCGCCTACATAAGATACTTGATGTGATGGGAGACGCATAGTCATAAACGCTCCTGTTTAGTTAGACAGATTGACACGTACTCGTGTATATCCACGTCTACACTTACAGATAAACCTCGAAAGTGGATCAACATACCTGATTTCCTCATGCATATCCACGTCTACACTTACAGATAAAACTCGAAAGTGGATCAACATACCTGATTTCCTACTAAAATCTCATTAAACTTCGCCACCGCATGACATGTCGCCAGGCACTCCATCAGACGGACTGGCATGGTACGGTTGCCACAGCCTACCATTTCACCGAATTGCTTGTTTTCCACCTGGAGCGATATCACAAGTATCAAGTATCTTATGAATTCAACAGAAGTAAAGAATCCATTCAATATATATATATATGTATATATATAGTATCTTGTGAATCCAAACAAAGTGAACAATCTTTTTAGATGGAGGAGTCAAAACGAGTCCACTGTCAATAGAATCATACAAGTGCCATTCAGATACCTTTCGGATGCGTGCTGTAATTTAGAACGAAATGATTTTTGTATGTATGGTGCATCGAACGCAGAAGAGATTATTTTTTGAGTTTTTAAACGTTGAAACGCATCTATGTATATGTATATGTATATATATATATATATATATATATGTATATATATATATACAACACATATACATACAAATTACAACGCGGAAATTCATACCGGTTGCGCGCCCAAAAAAACCAGGCCTTCCTTAGTCAAAGTTCCGGTCTTATCGAAGCAGAAAACACGGATCTTACCACTGATGGAGATACGTGTCGGGTTCAGCGCAAACACGCCCTGTAAGACTATCTATGTTGGGCGAAATAGTGTAAGTCTAAAAAATGCGTTAGGTATATATATACATATATATATATATAAATTTTAACAACTATATATAACTATATAGAAGGAAATATATATATATACATACATATATATATATATTATATATATTATATATACATGTATATATATATAGACACACACACACATATATATATATAATAATATACGTAATATATATATATATATATATATATATA